CCAAATCCCCTAGATATAACACCCACAAATATCTTCACCATTTCTCACCAATGTCTCTGAATGTTTCTTCCTTGAGCTGCCTTCTCCGGTCATGACCATTCCAACACAAAGATTTTCCTCAAAGTTTCAACTTTGCTCCCTAGAAATACCAAACCTAAATCTCAGAAGCTTCTGTCCCCAAACCATCCTACCTCCAATTTCCCATGCAGAAGAGACTCTCTACTGTTATACACTTTGAGAGGATTGTGTTCCTTTCCTTCCAAATTACTAACTCGGTTATTTCGTTTGTGTGACTTTAAGCTAGTGTCATTTTCTCTCGAAAAATTGGAAATTTAATGAGGTTTAAACACCATGAAACACTCTAATTAGAGTCACTAGTTTAATATTTTCACTTCCATGATAACATTAACTTAAATAAGTCCTTGATTTATCTTAAACATTTTTCTCACCAAATCTGTTTTTCAGTTCACTGTGAGTGTTCCAATCAGAGGTCTTATAAATTGAGAACTAATATTTGCTACGTGTATATTCCATATTATAGAGTCAACATGTATTATTTCATTTCATGCTAACAAGCTTGTGGATATGTTTGGTATATGCCATTTGACCTCATAAAACTGAGAGGCTTGGGACACGTAATTAAAAATACTTCAGACTTAGATTTTTGTTTTGCTCCAAAGCTCTGTTTCTGTCTACTGCATATACTTCTTCTTAAATCCCATAGCTAAAATCCATTGTTAATAAGCTGACCACAGTTCTTTTCTTTCTACTCCTTTCCAAGGAGATGAATTAGACACACTCAAGCTTTATTGAAGATTATGGAAATAAAATAATAGAGTGGTAAACTACTTGAAAAATTTCAGTTCTGTCATTTAACCTAGTTTTCAAATTGTATTGTGAATGACCTCTAGCCCTAGGAGCAGTTTATTATTGATAATACAATTATTCCCTAATTATCATCTACTTTTCGGATAATTTTTTAAAAATACATTTTAACTATTTAAAGCTCGGAGGATTTGGTTAATATAAACCTGTTGTGACCACATCTCAAGGTCTGTGCCTCCCAAGTTCTGCTTAGAAATAGTCTAATTGCAATTACAGGCATCTCACATTTTGTAAACAGTTTTGAGTTCCAAGAGTTCATAAGTGAGTTGCTTGGAGTCAGTGCGTATTTTCCCATTGAGCTAATCTAGTAAAGAATGGCTGTTCCCCAAGCTGCCATTTCTGTGTTCTCTCCTCCCACATTCTTCCCTCAAGTCTCAAAAAACAACAAGGGGAAACTCTGTTTAAACCAAAGTGAATACTAAACCTACTTTTACTGCCCTGAGTGCTAGAGTATGTTGGGAAAAGAGCTTTGTGATTTAGTAAGGCACAGCAATTCAGCAGGTAAAGGTAGACTTTACACAAAAAAAAGAGCCACTCCTCTCCAGGAGATTGCTCTTACTAGCTCCACAAAGCTTTTTTATTTTTTTCTTGAAATCTTCTTTTTCTACATTTCTATACTGGGTTTTTCTCTAGTGAGAACGCCCGAACGAAGGAAACAGAAATGGAAAAGGGATAACGTTCACATTTTTTAGCAGGTTCATGCTGTTCATCTACCTGATACCTCTTAAAATCAGTGGCAAGTCTAAGAATGTTGTGACTTCAATGTTACTTTTATTACCCAAATTTCAAAATCTTTTAATAGTTATACTTTTCATATCTCATCTTTCTCTGTACCAATAACTCAGTAATAAAAGTGTTTTATAGAGTATGCTACATTTTAAAAAATTGTACACAGTAAGGGATTAATTACCACATGATATTTTGATACATGTATATGTTTTATAATGTTTAAATCAGGTTAAACATATTTAGCTCGTTAAACACGTGAAATAATGTGTTTGTCTTGCTATGAGCAAAAGACCTGATAGGAATAATTAGAGGAGGAAGTTTATTTGGGACTCATGGTTTCAGAAGTCTCAGTCCATAGATGGCCAACTCCATCGCTCTGGGCTCAAGATGAGGCAGAACATCATGGCAGAAGGGCATGGAGGAGGAAAGCAGCTCAGGACATGCAAACAGGAAGCAGAGCTCTTCTCACCAGGGACAAAATACAAACCCCAAAAGCTCACCCCCCCAGTGACCTATTTCCTCTAGCCACACCCTACCTGACTCCAATTAAAACCATTTCAAATGAAGCATTTCACCTCTGAACACTCTTGCCATGTCTCACATATGAGCTTTGGAGAGAAAACACATATCCAATCTATAACATGATGAAAAAATTTAAATCCTTTCCTGTAGCCTTTTGAAATGTACACTTCACTATTATTATCTAAAGTCATCCATCCATGCAATAGCTCACCAGAACTTCTTGCTCCTAACTATTAACTTCCTACCCCATTAATCAATTTTTCCCTGCTACACCTTTCTCTCCCCAAATGTGCTCTATTTTTTAAGTGATTTCAGATTTTTTAAAAAATAAAATATCTTCATAACAAACCTTGAGAGGATGGACATCTTTTGTCATTATACCAATTTTATAGATGAAAATATAAGGCTTTGACATTAGAGTTCACTGAGTCTTCATAGGCCAAAAGCAACTCTATTCTAGGCTTTCCGTGTCCCTATTTCAATTTCAAGGCTATTTCTCCATTGTTTGCCTCAGTCAAATTTCACTCCTCCCTCTAGAGTCCTATTCCATGAGAAGAGGGATTGGTAGTCTACTGCATTATCCTGAATACCCACAACACTTATCCGCACTTAGTGACTAGTAATATTGAACAAATGCATTTCAGTCATTAATTATTTGAACAACAATGCTATATACTTTTGCTGGTGAAAAAATAACTTTTTATAAGAGGCAGCATAATCTATGCTAAGAGCGCACACTCATTTTCCATAACAAATGTTCAATTTTACCCTGGGCTGTTGAAGCCTTTCCTCTACAGTCTTAATGACTTTAGCAAGCAAGGATTGATGGAAATGGAAGAAAATATCACAAAAAAGTACTGATTTCTTGCTGCTCTTCCCTGTGCTTCCTGCCTTTTCAAAATCCTAAGAACAGTTCTCAGGGTTGATAAGGAATTTTGCAGCTAAATAATAATAATAATAATAAAAACAACCACCATAAAAACAGCCCCAAATGTCAAAACTTAACATCAAAAGTCAATAGAGATTGTGAGGAGTTGCCTTCCGGAATAAACAACTTGAGTTAAACTTTTTCTGGTTCCTAAATTGTCTAACAGTTGATTTCTTGCATTATCTTCACTCTATTTAAAGGAGACAAAGTGATAGGGAAAATAATCTGAAATCATGACTCCTGGAGGAAGAATAATAAGACCTTACGTTTTCTATCTGGTTTTTCAGGCAATGACTATAAAGGCCAAAACCAAGGTTGACTGTCATCCCAAGGGCCACTTATCAATAGAGGGAGTCCTTCCAGAGTTTGAGGGGAGGAAATAATATTAAACAAAAGGAAGAGAGAGGACAAAAAAAAAAAAAAGAGAGAGAGAGAGAGAGACAGAGGGGGAATAAACCTTCCAACAGCTGTACCTTTTTTTCCTTTATAAGAATTGGTCTTAGCCCTGACACAGCTTTATACTATAAATGAAAACTGATGTTCATCAAACAGCAATATGCTATATGCCTCGCATGCATGACATTGTTTGACTGAGATCTTACCCAAACTTTGTAGGTCAACCACTATTACCTCAAAGAAAATCAAGACCTAGTACTTACACATGGGCACATAAATACAAAGTCCTAAGGGCCTTGAAGAGAGTCCTTTGGAATCCAGGGCCCTTGCACTTCACTTTTCGTGTTCTGCCTCACAAAGAACTGTGTGTGTGTGTGTGTGTGTGTGTGTGTGTGTGTGTGGTGGACCATGGACAAGCTGCAATAATTAAAAAAAAAAATCTATAACCCTGCTTGTGCCTTGGTTACTACCTTTCTCATATGAATCCTATCAAACAACTTATCGGTAGTAGATGGATAGCCAGAATGCCAATGAAAAAGCAGTGAGCACCCAGTGTGTAGAATAGGAGCCATAACACAAGTACCTGGGAGGGGGCCACAGGTGCATCCCAAAAATATCAGGTAGCTCTGGGTGAGTCTTATCTTCACTAAAACTATTTTTGAGGAGTTATTACATGTATTCCATTCTCTATCTCATCCCTGACTTCATATGTCCTGCTGCTCTCCATGGAAGGAAACAGAATTCAGATCTTGGTTGCCCCTCTCCATTAAAAAAAAAAAAGGTAACCAAGGAGAAGGGTGTCTATGGAAGAATCCAGAGGGTCATTTCATAGAGCATGGGATATGAGAGCACCCTTCAACCACCCCTTCCAGCTCCCAACTTATCTTACATTTTAGTAAAGAGAGGAAAGAGATTATTTACCTGCTCCTATAGAGGCTGAAGCCTGAAAGTCATGTGTAACCTTTGAAGGACTGTAATGGTTTTAATCACAGGAATAACATCTTTTTGACAGGCAGGAGAGAGGAAAGAGCTGAACCACACTGCAAATATTAACCAGGCTATTTTGGAGCAATGGTTATTGCCTTTGAAATCTTTCACCATGAGTCTATACTTAGAATTCAGATGAGCCCAGGGGGAGGGGAATGGGGCAGTGTTAATCCCCAGTTGTTTTGAAGTTGTCTTGTAAGCAGGTTGGTGTCTAAACTGTCCAAAATGGAAGTGTTCGAGGCTTTGCTTAAATTACGGGATTCTCTCTTGTATTTTGGTTTAACCTGTTCCTCCTATAGATTGTCACTTCACTCTGGGTGGCGACACATCTCAGTTTTCTTTCAAACTAGATGTTCTAGAGAGCACTAGCTGCAGTCACATTGGGAGACTGATGCTCCATGACAGCTAAAAGTTGGATTGAATTTCAGGAGCTACTATATATAAAGCTGGGTCGACTTATGTCACCGCACTAATTAAATGCCATCTGGGTGGTTCCTCTGGGTTTTGAGTCCATCACCCAGTTCAGATCGAGTCAGAGGCCAAGGAGGAGAACATGATGATGGACCTTTTTGAAACTGGCTCCTATTTCTTCTACTTGGACGGGGAAAATGTTACCCTGCAGCCGTTAGAAGTAGCAGAGGGCTCTCCTTTGTATCCAGGGAGTGATGGTACCCTATCTCCCTGCCAGGACCAAATGCCCCCAGAAGCCGGGAGCGACAGCAGCGGAGAGGAGCATGTACTGGCACCCCCAGGCCTGCAGCCTCCCCACTGCCCCGGCCAATGTCTGATCTGGGCTTGTAAGACGTGCAAGAAAAAGTCTGCCCCCACCGACCGTCGGAAAGCCGCCACTCTGCGCGAGAGGAGGCGGCTAAAGAAAATCAACGAGGCCTTCGAGGCACTGAAGCGGCGAACTGTAGCCAACCCCAACCAGAGGCTGCCCAAAGTAGAGATTCTGCGGAGCGCCATCAGCTACATTGAGCGGCTGCAGGACCTGCTGCACCGATTAGATCAGCAGGATAAAATGCAGGAGCTAGGGGTGGACCCCTTCAGCTACAGACCCAAGCAAGAAATTGTAAGCCCCAGATGCTGCCGGGGAGGGAAATGTAAAGGCTGATTAAACGCCTTCCGCGGGGCCTTAACTTCCAGCTGCTGAGTCTCTTCCCTTACTCCTTTCTTGCCTGCCCCTCCCGTTCCCTCTCTAGATGAACCCCTTGTGACCCAAGACGACCAGGTCGCTCCAATAGGCAGGAAATGCGTACCCGGCCCAAGGAAGCAGAGGAGACACCCCCAGAATGGCCCCCCTCCCCCGGAATTTGTTTCTTTCCTAATCTGTTGCTTTGGTTTTCCCTCCAGCTTGAGGGTGCGGATTTCCTGCGCACCTGCAGCTCCCAGTGGCCAAGTGTTTCGGATCATTCCAGGGGGCTCGTGATAACTGCTAAGGAAGGTAAAGTAAAAGGGAGGGCACTGGGCTGCGCTGGAGAGCATCCCGGGAGGGAGCTGGGGTGTTCGCTCCGGACTCAAAAGTGAGCGCATGGGGCGCATCCTGCTAGAATCGCGCTCTCAGAGCGCAGGAACGTGGTCTTCTCGCGCTGTCAAAGGGGCCTCCGGCAGGGCACGGAGCTGCCTGGTTCTTCCTTACACGGTGCATTGTTGGTGTGTGTTCCTATTTGTTTCCTGTGTTCAGGAGGAGCAAACGTTGATTCGTCGGCCTCGAGCAGCCTTCGATGCCTTTCTTCCATTGTGGACAGTATTTCCTCCGAGGAACGCAAACTCCCTTGCGTAGAGGAGATGGTGGAAAAGTAACTCTGGGCCGGCGCGTTCCACGCAGCAGGAAGACTCCTTCTCCACCTAATCCTTTAGATTAGGTCACATGGCATTACCATTTAGACACCCAGACCCCAGATTTTAGGAAAGGGAAGGAGACATATTCATAAAGAAACTTGTTCAAACTCAAACGAAAGGGCCTTTCGGCTTTGGGCTTCTATTTTTGTTTTTGTTTTTTGTTGTTTTTTTTTTTTTTTGGAACCGCACGAGTGCCTTAGGTCTAGCATCCCTGTTTTGTTTTTGTTTGGTTGGTTTTGTAATATATTAACTTTTATTACGGCGATCCTTTGTGCCACATGCGAAAGAAGTTCATTCCTGTCTAAAGCGAAGTGGGAACGTTAATCTTAGTGGTACTTAATGTACTTTTGTATATAGTCTTAGTACGTTCATTTTTTTATGTAAACTTAAGAAGTATATTTTAAATGTGGACTGATGGATTGTATATAAAATGTGTGAGGATCCTGGTATTGTAAAATTAAAAGTAAGTTTCTATATGAACAAAGTTGGCCTTAATTTGATTCAACTGGAAACATACATTTGAGGGCATGTGTACAAAAATAAAAAGGAGCTATATTTTAATTTAGACACCACAGAAGCCCATTTATTGGGGTGCTTTCCTTCAGGCTGAGTAATTTTCTTTTGTTTGATTTAAACCGGGTAATTTAATATTTCATATAGATCTTACACTTGTGATTAGAAGTGAAGAGTATCCAGAAGGAATCTGCGCTTTCCTTTTATCAGCACCCGTTTCTTTCTTCCTTTTCTTTGTCTTTTTTCTCTTCTTACCATTCTGTATTTGGTGATCTGGGTATGGCTTACTTACCCAGAGTTAACAACTGAATTTTCAATCTAGTAAAATTTTGTTGGCAAGAAATTCCAAAACAAAACTCTTTGCTGATTTCCCTAAAAGATTTTCAGCTTATTTAATCCAAATTATTTTCCTCTCCTTGATGTTGCAGGCTGTTTCCCAGCATTGATCTGAGTATCCAGGGGGCTGTACTGGCCTCCTCCACAGTTTTCTTGAACTAGACTGGTCCCTATAAGACTGACATATCCTCAAGGCCTCTTTGGCCTGGGTTTGTTTTTCAAATACAAAGATAAAAGAAGGATGGGCTTCTTTGAAGGGTGGGTTGCTTTAAGAGAGGGAAAGGGTTAAATGGTTGAGGGCAAAAAACAACAACAACAACCCACATGAAATCTCTTAGCTGGGCCAGAGCCCCAGAGAGACTCTAAGCCCCAGGAGTTCCTCATCATGAGGATTTTACAACGTGTGCCAGGTTTTGTTTATCCTGTAACTTCAGGAAGAAAAGACCACCAAGAAACACAGTGGGAAGTGAAGTGGAGAAGAGGAGCAAGCCATTTCTTTAGAATTTCTACTTCTCCCTTCCATTCTCCAAAGTGTACCTTCACTTCCTACCCCCACCTCTTAATGTCTACCTTCCCCCTCTACTTTACCCCTTTCTTCCCCACAGCTGACAATCAGCTCACAGATGTAAAAAAATCAAACCCATTTCTGTATTTCCCTGTTCAACCTTGCTTCTTAGCACTCCAAGGTCTGATCTTCCTTTTGTGCACCCCATGACTTCCTGAGAATGCCACAAGTAGTGCTCCCTGCAGGCTGGAGCTATAGCTTGCCCCTTTCCCATTTTAGAAGAGAAAACCTTTTCCTAAGGGTAATACAGATTGAATATACCTTATCCAGAAGTGTGTTGGATTTCAAATGTTTTCAGATTTTGAAATATTTGTATAGGCTTTGTGGTTGAGCACCCTGAATCCCACAATTCCAAAATCCAAAATGCTCCAAAATCTGAAACTTTTTGAGCATCATATAGGCAGTCAAAAAGTTTGGATTTAAGAGCATTTCTGATTTAGAATTTTCTAGATTGAGGTGTGCTGAGACTGTAGTTAGTCTTCTGAGCACATGGATAATTGCAGTTTCTTCTCAAATACTTTTAGAATGCAGAGAGGGGAGATCCAGATGTGCACTTGGTGGTTAGAACATGCTACTTATAAAACACAGAATAGTTCATAGAGGAAACTGACATTGACATATAATCCCTTTTAAAGGTTTGAGAGAAGCAGGCAGGAGGTTTAAGGATGCAAACCACTGAGCCTCTGGAGGAGGTGGACTACCTAGATTAAATTCAGGCTGCTACTGTGTAGCCCTGGGCTAGTCAGCACTGCTTCTTGGGCTTACTTCTTCATTTACAAAATAATGAGGACAACAGGGCCTGATTCCTGGAGTTGCAAAGATGCACTGAGATACACATATAAAGTGCTAAGCCAAAATAGTGACAAAATAAGCTCCAGATGCCAGATCACTTTATTTTTCATTAGTAAATCTAAATTGACCATCAAAAGGTTTTTCTTCCACCAAAGGTCCCAGTTCCTTCAGCCTTTGCTGGCTCTGGCTGGGGAAAGTATTCATAGCAAAGAGAACTGAGACAATGTGAATGAGCCATTCTTAGCAGTTTCCACATTGACTCATAATCCTTCATCAACCAGCCAGAGAGAGGTACTGTTGTTATGTCTACTTTAGAGAAGATGATCCTTTGGAATAGCGGGGTCCTTCCATGTGGCAAGTATAAAGCCCAGATGGCTGCAAGGTCCTACCCTCAACTACCAGGTACCCTGCAAGAAAAGCTTTGGGAAATTAACATGGAAAACTTTATGGTCTATAGAGTAATTTGGTGGACTTTGAAAGTTGTTTTCCAAAAGTTCTTTCTCAAGAGTGGTTAACTAGTGAACTGCAAGTTAGAGCAGTTATATTATTTTTTAAAAATAAACTCTTTCATGTGATTTTGGGGTACAGGGAATACAGATATTCAATGTGCTCAACTACTATTGAGGCTGGCAGAGAAAAATTGGGAAGTGAAACCTGACTTTTAACCTTATTAAAATATTGTTAAATTAAACTTAGAAACATTTACCAATAACATTATCTAACCAGAATATGTGTGAATATGTGCCAGTTGCATATGTTCCCAATAATATCCATATTATATATCTGGGTTTTCCCCCCTGGAGACTTGCTATAAAATGTGTGTGTGTGTGTGTGTATGTGTACACACACACACACATACCTATATTTTAAAGAATCAAATTCATTATACAACTGAAATAAAATGTTTTAATTGATGAGGTGAATTCATTTACTTTGCAGTTGCATATATATATTTATAATAAGATTTATCTTATAAACTGCTCAGCAACAGAATGCTTTTATTAAGTCATGGACTTTGCTTGTTGATAGATTTTATTCAGTCTTTGCCAACCAAATCCTCTCTATCTTTCTTAGCTAGCTAGGTAACTTGAGAAATTGTTTGGAATCCGTTTGCCTATGGAAGTCTCTTCGTTAAATAGAGCAAATATTTCCCAAAGACTTTGTGTGACCTCCACTGCTGTAGCTGACAGTGGATTTCCAAAGAAATCCTTGGTGTGTTTGCAATTAAAATGTTTTTGTTTGATATTAATGATGATAATCTTTACCAAGGCCAAAGCCAAAACAAACAGGGCTGTGGAAGCAGAAAAATCGAGACATAATAACTTGGTAAAGATAAGCCATTTGGGATTGAATCGGAGCCTCTTTTCCAGAGGCATATACACAGTTTTCAGGTATGAAGTAATGAGTGATTTTCTGTTATACTACTATAGAAATAATTTGTGGAACATCGAATACAAGTTTTCTCAAACTAACTTCAATCATTCATATCTGGATCATTGAATTCCAAACCTGAATATTGTGGAAATCCAGTTATGCCAAATGCTTTCCCTTTTCTTTTAAACTCTTTTGTATGTTTTTTTTGGGTGGGAAGGGTGCATAAATTCAGTGTTCCCAACTACTCTTGAGGCTGCAGAGCAAACTTGCTATGTTAAAAGTAAACTTTATCCTTAAAAAGACATTCTTTAGTTAAAAGAATTTACCATTTGTGCTTTACTTAGTAATACCATATCCCATTTCTTCATTTTAAAACCCCCTTCCCACAACACCACATAGGAAAAAGTTTTTAAAAAATATATATTTTTAAACTTTGAATAACTCATTGTCTAATTCTATGCATTTATAAATTAGCAATAATATGGTATCTTCCCACAGGCCCCTCCAGTCATTCCCACAAACTAACTTAACTTGTAAAAGATGATCCTTGGTCCTACAGGATTCAGTCTGCAAAAAAAAACCACAATTTTTCTGCAAGCTTAGTTCAGAGTCAGTCTGTGAGATGGAATGGCTATGCCATGTGCTGGAACAAAACATAATGCTATAAGAACTGGCTACTTTCTGGATTCTCAAGGCTGCTAAATGTCCTAACTTAGTCCTTTGATCTCTCTTGGGAGTCTTCGAATTCAAGCAGAGGCCAATGTCTTCCTCAGCTGTCTTCTCCACAAATTCTTCCAACAGCTCTGGCAGGTACTAATGTGTTTACTTAGGTGTGCCCCGGGGTTCTCAGAGCTAATAGCAGTTTGAAATTGCTTAGCATATTGTGAAGTCATCTATGATAACCAAAAATCCCAAGAACTCCCTTTTTCCAAGAGTTAATAGGGTCTGCTGGTAGGGGCTGAAGTGAGTTGAAATGGGTTAATCTTTCCACATGTAATCTTTCTATGTATATTTAGTTTGTCCCACTAAGAGAAGTATGATGAATTTTCAGCAATACAGAATTCCTACAGTAGGCAAATTTTACTAGGAAAAAAGTGATGAACATTATTTTGGTGATGTAGTCTGTCCATTGACAATAGTTCTTATTTTTATTTATTTATTTGTTAACATAGGTTCTGCTAAAATCAAAAGTTGACAGTTTCTTAGAGGTAATCTTATAGGTCACTGCAATTATAGCCTGTTTACAAAAGTCTGAGTCGTTAGAAAACTAAATGTGTATTTGTTTTTGTTCAGAATCTGAAATTCAAATTGTAAATACATGAATTATCCATCTGTCTCACCAGCATCTTGGTAGGCATTCATTTTCAACTCTGGGTGGCTG